TAAGGGAGGTGGGCGCCACTCTCAGGAAGCGCGAGTCCGGTCAGGACGGGCTGGGTGAAAAAATATGCAACGTCAGGCCTCGCTCCATCAGTCTCCATTTTGCGAAATGGAGAGAAAGGGCCTTGCTCCACACCACTCTCAACGTGGCTCTCAATTTGGAAATCAGAGTGTCAGAAAGGGCACATTGAGATTTACTACTAGAGTGTCCAGCCTGTAGATTTCGAAAGTGGAAGGGAGGCGGACGCGAGAGTCCAGTCAGCACGCGCACAAGAGTCCAGTCAGAACGCACAAGAGAGAGTCCAGTCAAAACCCGCACCAGAGAGTCCAGTCAGAATGCGCAGGTGCAGTGTATGCTTTCGTTTTCCGTTTTTCTTTTTGTATCTAGGACTCCATATCTGATACAGCAGCTGAGCGTCCAAAGTCGAGAGGGGCGGAGTGAGAGAGCTGTTTGTCTTAGCTGCTAAAGTCTGACAGCTCTTGAAGCACTCTCAATTCTTGCACGGAAGAGTGGTGGAGCGAGGCCCTTTGCGCGCGCAGATGAGCGCGGCCGGTTGGCAGCTTTTCGCAAAATGTCTGAAAGCAGCAACTTTGGGCATAGCCACACCACTCTTGAAATGTGCAAAATGAGAATGAACTTCCGCCTAGAACATGGCTAAATGCATCAGCCACATTTTTGTCTTTTTCACATTTCCAGAGTGGTGTGGGGATGTCCTTTGGCAAAGTCCTGTGCTCAGATTATTTCAGAGAAAAACAAAACTGAAAATTTTCAGTGTCATAGATCAAGTGCTGATCTTTGTCAAAAAAATATTTTAAAAGCATAAGAACCCAAACAAAAACAAAAAAAAAATTAACAATAATAATAAATGGCAGAAAACATGTTGGCGGGCATTTTTTAAACCCTTGCGCTACAAGTAGGCCCACATCATTTTGGTTCGGTGGCCCAGGCTTCGGGGCAGTGGTGGGTTAACAAGCAGGTCACGAGTTCGAATCCTGAGGGAATCAGACGCATGCAATAACGTTAGGGGCTGCACCCTTCTATTCCAACAAAAAAAAAAAAAAAAAAAAAAAAGGATCGGACAGCGAATTCTGGCCGAAAACCAGCCTCAGCAACAGTCTGATCTCCGACAGTGCGATCCAACAGAGAAGTTTTTGTTCCTGTCAGTGCTATCAGATTGTTTATTTCCCCAACAAAAAAAAAAAAAACTTGGTGTGTTGACAACTTGACATCCCCGACACATGGGCGAGGAGGAAAATAGTCATGTCTAATCGTCAAACATCACAACATTTTCTTTTCTTTTTTTGGGACCATCTCTTACTTGATGCGCGGGATCCCCTGTGCAAGGGCCAAGCTAATCTCCTCTGCATAGTCCTTCGGGACATCCGTTAAAATTGGAACGATGCAGAGAAGATTAGCATGGCCCCTGAGCAAGGATGACACGCATAAATCAAGAAATGGTGCAAATTAAAATAAAAATAAAAATAAAAACCTCCTCTGTATAGTTCCAATTTTACCGACCGTTTCGGAGGACAGCATCAGGGGCTCGGTCCTTCTTGCTCATTATTGACCATAGAATAGATTATGCAGATCCATACATAGCCAGACATGACAATATTGACCAGAGATTATGCAGAACCATACAGAGCCAGACATGACAAACACGCACAAGTGGGACACAGATCGCGTTTTGCCCACTCCCGATATGCAGCAGCACACACAGAGTACAAATGACGCACGCCTATGACAGAGGCAGGCAAGTGTTCCTCACCAGCCAAACATTGAAGGGTCCGGTCCGGCCCTATTGATGCGACAAGGTTCATGGTAGGGGGATATTCACTCTCGCTGTCAATTTTAGAGTGAACCTTTTTGCACGGGCATGCCCAGTGGGAAGGGAACAAAGAGACGGGGCTCCAGTTTTAATCTTCCCTTTTTTTTCCTTCTTTTTTTACCCATATTTTTCAGTTCTGGCCGTTTTCTTCCTAATCTGAGAGGAGGGGAGGGGGAGGGGGGGGGTAATGAAAGAGGTCTAAGGAGATCTTTCTTCCCTTCCCACTGGGCATGCCCGTGCGAAGGAAGCTTCCCGCCAAAATCTTTTCAATCCGTTGGGGGTATGGCCAACCCCAAAAGAGGGTGTGATCGGCCATAGGCCGACTGGATAGAAGATTTCCAGTATTTTGCTTGCTGTAGTGCAATTATCTCATTGGGTGGAGCCCTCCTTCAAACAATGGTATCACGAATCTACAATAGCTTTTCTAGGGGGGGTTGAAGTCAACCATTTTACTGCGTCATGATCACTGCTGACAGAAGTCGAGTTTATTCCAGAAAATGTGCCTGTTACTTTGTTCACTGCTGTTGCATCCACCACCATCAGCACTCTGCTGTGATCCTTTTTTTTTTTTTTTTTTTTTGCCATGCTAATCTTCTCTGTATCGTTCCAATTTTAACAGATGTCCCGAAGAACTCTGCTGTGATTTCCGGTGGGAGGTCTCTGTTTCCTTTTTTTTTTTTCCGGTGGGAGGCCTCTGTTTCTTTTTTTTTTTTTTTGCCTTTCTCCTGTTTTCTCAGCCCAGAAATTCGTTTCGTAATGAACCTGTCAGGCCGCTGCCCCTCAGTGTCACACTGGATCGGCCCTGTCTCTTATACACATCTAGATGTGTATAAGACCGAAGAACTCTGCTGTGATTTCCGGTGGGAGGTCTCTGTTTCCTTTTTTTTTTTTCCGGTGGGAGGCCTCTGTTTCTTTTTTTTTTTTYTGGTGGGRGGTSTCTKTTTYTTTTTTTTTTTTTTTGCCTTTCTCCTGTTTTCTCAGCCCAGAAATTCGTAATGAACCTGTCAGGCCGCTGCCACTCAGTGTCAAACTGGATCGGTCACACTCCTATCCGACTGCTAATGGGACCATGCTCCGGGGCTCCAGTTTTAGCCTTCTCTTTTTTCTTTTTTTTTTAACCCATTTTTTCAGTTCTGGGCGTTTTCTTCATAATCTGAGGGGGGGAAATAAAGGGAAAAAAGCTTTGTGAAATGGGACCTAGAAATAGAACTGTCGACGTGTGCGTATCATCCTTCAACAGGGGCCGCGCTAATCTCCTCTGTGCAATGGTTCCGATTTTAACGGATAAAATTTACGACATTTTTTTTTTTTCTTCTTCCTTTTTTTTTTCTAAACATCGTGGTTTTCACTAGCTGTGGTGAGACGAGCACCCACAGCTAGTGTATACCTTCTGATGGCTCCAAACTATTCGTTTGGAACGGCACAAGCTGGAAATTGGGTCCAGCGTCCCATGAAAGACAGACAAACGTGAAGGATACAGATATGTACAGTCCCTGGCCTCTTCACCCTCAGTGGCGCTGAATCGGCATGGAAACCTAGCCTCACCTACTATTGCTGCCGTTCTTGGTACAGCCCATGTGACAAGTGCAACCGGAAGCTGCTGAATTACCACGAAAGTGCTGAAGTTTCGCCTTTTTCGACATGATCTAATACTTGTTTCCTCGTCCATTCGCATTTTTTCCTATATATTCATATTTCTTGTTGATATATATTCTTTTTTATTTACTTACTTGGATTTCTTTTTATTTATATTATTTACTTCATTATCCTAATTTACTTTTATCGTCATTATTCCACAGTCAAATTTCATTCATTACTATTACAAATAGAATTATTATTATATGATGAGATGATATAGAAATACTTCATCTTACCTGGGAAGAAGACCTTAGTCTGAATTCTCCCATGATCTGTCTGCAGAATGAGAGCTCATGAACCACTTATTTATTTATTTATGTAGTTGAATATCACATTATTTACATCGTTATCTTTCCCCCAATCGACTTACATATATAATTTACTTGGATTTCTTTTTATTTATATATTTACTTCATGATCCTAATTTACTTTTATCGTCATTATTCCACAGTCAAATTTCATTCATTACTATTACAAATAGTATTATTATTATATGATGAGATGATATAGAAATACTTCATCTTACCTGGGAAGAAGACCTTAGTCTGAATTCTCCCATGATCTGTCTGCAGAATGA